TTGAACTAGAGGTTCTCCTGAATCAAATGAGGTAAGGCACTTGATGCTGACTGCAAGAAAAGGTTAGAACAGGTTAGGAGAAACAAATAAATACAGGAGAGTCAGGCAGGCGAAAATTCCGTCTAGGTCTTTAAGGGTGGACTGTTGACCTTGATATCCGTGAGACAATCAAGTTGGTATGTTCAATTTTTTTCTAACTTGTTTTATTATTCAACCTTTGGATATTATTTATTTAGCTGATCTACTTTCAGATACTGTTAACATCAAGTGGCTACACTTTGCACCAGCAGGGGTTACTGAAGTATTATAAAACACCATGCAGATATATTAAATATCATTAGAACACTTACAGATGTCGTCCTATAAGATGTTTTTTGACAAAACATAGCTTTTACAGGTTACCAACTACTAACATGCTGATTATAAGTTAAACTTCTTATGTTGTATCAAAGTTGAATGTTTATACAAGTATTGAGAAATTAACAATTCTTATCAAATTCATTCTACTTGCCATTATTAGCTGGAGGGAACAGCATAATTATCATTAGAAGAAAAAAACTTCATCAATGAGTTGGCACCGTCCTGGGATTTGCCTCTAGTCACATGTGACAACAGGAGATGGCTATTTGATAAACTGATCCTCCATGCTGTGAGTATTCTGTACTTAACAGGTCATATGAATCAGACTGACTAATCAGAGTGGAAGTTTTGGCATATCACATTTTAGCTTTTTTGTTAAATACATATTTGGATGTTAATACGTGTATTAAAACATGCTTATTGGGCTATTAGATAAATCAGGCTGCTTTGCTTTTCTACTGTGATGCAAATATTGTGCAGGTCCTTGGAAGAACCTCCAGACAAGTCAAGCAGTTACGAAGGGGTTTAAAAGAGACACTGATCTGGCCTCTGCTAACGGAGAGGAAAGACACGATTCCCCTTCTTTCCAAGAGCATCTGATTTGCAGTGCACCCCACGGGTAAGTGATCTCATGCTGCTCAGTCAAATCCTTCCTCCTAACTCACAGGAGTTAGAAATTGGGTTTATTTACTACTCTCAGACCTCCATTGCTTTAAGTTTATTATAACAAACATTCAGATATGCAAACATATTTTGAAATGAAATGATGCTACTTGCTGCTTAAAAGGAGCTAAACCAATAGAACAACTGTATCTTTAGACTACTCTGCTGCTACACAGCAAAACCTGCAGTTTCTTGTATGTTCTGTTTATTATTGTGCTTTCACTGGGCTCCTTTCAAAACTAAATCTGTCAGATGGTCTTGGAGAAGATAAACTGGCCCACACAGGATGAGGATGAAGACAGTGAAGTCTCTTTGGAGGATTCCTGTAGGATCACAGGATTCCGGCGCACATTTATTGAGATGGGTAAAACAACGTCTTCAAGCTTTGTTTACTGAAAGTTTGTAATTATTATAACGAAAGCTGCGCTTCCTCTGTTTTTATGTTTAACCGTGGATTTTCAGCTATACAGTAACAATCCAAGGCGTAATTTAAGTAACATTATTGTTATTTAACTATTAACTGAAAGCAATTATAATAAAATGAATTTAATCTCTGTTTTATAAAGCATCTCCCCTTATCCTTGGGAAACTTGTGCAGTTCTGGATAGGATGGAATGTGCTTCCTAGACATGGCCTGGATGTGACCGTGGTGGAGAGCAACTTCCCCAGCTCTTCCACATGCTTTCACCAGCTGAAACTTCCAGGACATTACAAAGAGTACTGTACCAGCGTCTTCATGTAACTCAGTCAAATATTGTCACCTAATCGTCCTAGTCGAAACTTTAAAAGACTACATTTCCCACAGCAACAGCCTTTTGATACACACACATTTACTGTAGCATTTCAGTCAATAAGCCCACAGTTTGTACATAGACATTCCACACATTGGACAGAGGGCCATCAGGGTCTGGAAGTCTTTCCACTTCCTGGTCAGTCAGTGAACATTGCAGCTGAACTTCAGGAACCACAACATGAGGCTGGCGATGAGCACATGGTCCAGTCCAGTCAACTCCAAACTCAATGTCAACCTGCAATTGCAAGAGCTAAAGTTAGAGTCAACCAAAATCAAAGTTTTAATATATTTGTCAGTTAATTCATTTTATATAACCTAAAGTTTTGTATCATCTCCTGGAATTCCTGATTAATGTCTCATGAACAGCTATGACATCAATCAAATAATTAGAGAGAGCAGAAAGCCCTGATGTATCATTATCTTCCTTAACCGCTTGTTCTGGTTGATCACAGCATTTTAGGAATACCTCATAGAAGTGTTTAAAGTGCCGATGATATGCAGAATAAAATAATTCCATCACATTCAGTTTCCTCGACAACAGGCCACTATTTGTTACATTGTGCAACTATATGCACTTTGGAATGGACCTACCTTGTATTATTTGTTTTAAACAGTTTGTGTAATGACAGAAACAGTGGGTATTAGTGTTAACATGGTCCCATGTAGGAAAGTAAAGTCAAAGTCAAAATAAAACTATTGAATACAATCAAACATGTATAGGTTCCTGCTGGGCCTCACGCTCATGGCGAGTCCACAGTTGCAGTGGGGACCGGTTTCCCTCAGTGCTTAGTCGGTGGCAGTTCCAGCCTTGCTGGAAAAACTGCAGGTGCTTCTGTATGTGGGGCACAAAGCACCAGTGCAGAGCATAGAGATGCACTTCACAGTCGGGATTGAGAAGGCCTTCTCTCTCTAGGTTGAAAAACATTGTGTAGAAGAGATCCAGCACTCCCACATAAACGTCTCTCCAGAGCCTTTCTATCCTTTTGAGGAAAAAGGAAGGAAAATATTTAGTCTAAGTGAACAAAAAAAAATAACATACATGCAAAATATCACCTTTCACCTATACCATAAATGGTAAGTAAATTTAGAATTTAATTACATTAATTAGAAGCTAAGTATTAACATTTTTGCCGATTTCAATAGGAACATTTTCCTAGTTAAGTGGCAAGTGCACAATAATGCCTCTGGAAAAAAGCTGGAAGTTGGATTTAGCAAACCACATTTTGCTTGAGCAAAGTTCATCAAACTTGGGTGAGGTTTTTCTACTGTAAGCTTTGTTGAAACTGGATCAGGAAATATATCAGCTGAACATATGGATGTATAAAAAAAGATGGACTAATGCCATATTTATGCCACATTAACTGTTGTGGTTCAATATTAATGTAAGGTTCTCTTGACTGGAAAATACATTCAAAATCCAAGTTCCAACAGTAATTTGCCCAGTCATGCAATGTGCTGGGACTTCCACTAAATAGATGTTTGAAAAATATTGTTATCCTTCTTGTCAAATTATACAGTTGGTGTCATAATTATAGTGTTTGTATTATAGAAATATAACTTTTTTATTTCTATGGTTTTATCTCACAGAGGAAGACTAACAAAAATAAAATTAATAATAGCTAAAGACATATAGTTGACATTGCAATCTTTACCAAAGACTTAATTTGAGAAAAGTTTGACTTGAAGTTTAAGGTACCTTTGATTATGGACACTCCTGCCAGCAATGTGTGAATTCCTGTTCTCTCCTCGGTTTGCCACCATGTAGCGTGCAACGTCAACATTTTCTCCACCTTTATCTGACCTCACACGTGATGGCACACCGTAGACATTGGCGGCTTCCAAAAAGCTTCTTAAAACTGTTGCTGCCCGATTGTTGGTGGCAGCACTCAAGTACACGATGAGACGACTAAAGCCGTCAATACCACCATGCACAACAAAACGCCACCTAAAGGGATATGTATAGGCACACATTAAGGTCAATCCACTAATGTATGTACAGACATTTACACATTTAAAAGGCCTTATCCTACTAAAAGTTATAATTACAAAACATAAATCATCTTAATTTTGATAGTAAAAGTAATTTGCATGCAGAGGAATTTGGTGCAATTAATCATTTGATACATTTCATTTATATTTCTTCTTGCAGTGTTTTAACTTGTTTTTATGTCTACAGAATATTGTATGTTGCATTGTTAGAGGAGACTGAGACTTCAGATTTTCATAACCAACCAATAAAAAAAGCTATCATGCATATGACAATAAAGCCTTTGAATCTTGAAGTCTGGTTTGCATTGAAGCTGATTGATTATAACACTTTAGATGGGCCCATCTTTTGTAACTGTAGTGAAGTGGATGTTTGAGCAATGCTTGAGTGTTAATGATTATACTATACCTAATCAGTTTGTGATTTCCGTCGATGTGCCATAAACTGTTCGGTGCTGGTACAAAGTACTTCCTACGCCTTCTTCTACTCGCCTCCACCTGGATCAACGCGCCGCATGGATTCCTGGACACGCTGTCCTGTTATATTCGGGAAAATGCAGAGATATGGTGTACTGCAAGTAACATAATGAAAAGTAAAGCATTCCTAAATATGCCAGAATAATGTGATTCATTATCAAGTAGTAAAAAAAAAACACTGCATGGAGGATTATTATAATAATAACAATCCCATACTTTGTATGCGTATCCCTCGTGCATTCAGGTGCCCCACCATCATTTTGTATCCAGAGTTGGGATGATGCTGCAGAATGTGGGTAACAGTTTCATCCAATCTGTTGCCATCTAACAGAGTTAATAGATCTTGGACCCTGATCATCAAAAATAACTAAACAATAGTAAGTCACAATAAACAATAGTCACCTTTTGCACTGTACAATCAAAACACATCAGAATGAGTGTGTTGCTCTGTACTAACCTGCATTGAAAGATGTAGGTGTCATCTGAAACAAATTAGCTGGTCTCTTAAACCTCATTACTATTATTAGGCCTACATCATGTCTGAGGTAATGGTACCTTTTCTTTGTATACAAAGCATGTTTGTATCTTTGCCCCGACACATGTCTATCTGATGTATTGGTTTCAACATATTACCATTTTAATAAATATGTAAACAATCTATAAACAAGTAGGCTAATTTGGATGGAGAAAATGTAGGCTAATGAAACGTTATCATTACTAAACACAAGTTAATGCGTCTAACAAATGTGTACACTGATATAGCCTATGCCCAGTGGCGACTGGTCATTAGGGGCAGGTGGGGCACAGCCCCACCTAGTGTCAGTAGAAAGTATTAAAAATAATGATTACAACAAAATGCAAAAAAATAAATTAAAAAATATATAAAATATATTTTAAGATCATGTTTAATCATCTGATTCGTCTGTACATTACTGTTTTAGTCTGTGTTCTTCTAATTAGTGTCTACAGTGTGTGCCTATTGAGCTGTTTGAGCCATGTGGGACAAAACCCGATCCTGCCCCTCCCTCTCTATGTCTAAGTGAACGGTGACTGTAAAAACTACACTGCGCATGCTCAGAATATTTTCCTATTTAATGCGTGTGGCAAAACAATAATGACCATAGGGGCATAGTGCTGCCATCCCCACCATACGTTATCTCACATCATTCAGAGCTGATTGGCTGTAAGTACGTGTGCCGCGAAAAGTGTGGTGTGTGAAGAGGAGACGAGAGAGCTGCAGTGAGGCGTCCTAAAACCCGGAAGTAAGCTGCGCATGGCTTCCCTCGACAAAAAAGCAATGAGATTTCTCCATAGGATTTTAGAAAATAGCTCCAAATAAGATCTGTGGGAAACGTAACGTTTTGTTCAGCCGGATAATATCCACATGTCTACCCTACTTTTATAATGTTCGAATCATAAATCTATTGATTAGATTAGATTTATGATAGACTTTTGAAACTACAAGAACATAAGGAGGACTTTTACAAAAAAGTAATAGAGATTTTTGTCCAGAAGGATAGGCAAATGGACTTAATCTTCAAGTCAAGGTAAGACTGCAATTTTATTGAAAATGGGATCTTACTAAGAGAGAACAATTCAATATTTAAATAATAAAATAATTTTTGTTTGGGTATCCTTCTGTTGAACTGTCTGTTTAAAATGAATTGAAGCATCAGACAAAAAAAGCTTTTGAAAATAATATTATATTTTGATTTAGGTCAAAATATAATATTTGTAAACCTGAAGAGTCAGTGCCAGTGCCTCACCAGCCATGAACCTCACTGCACGTCACTGCAGAAGCTTATAGACATCTACGTTTTTTGTGCCCCACCACTTTTGTACATATAAAAAACGCCACTGCCTACGCCAAAACAATAAAAGTAAGGAAATCCAGACAAAAAACGTGAAAGAATGCGGATTAAACCTACCGTATCCCGTTCTGTGTCATCCTCCGACGAATTGTTCTTTCGCACACCCTGAACACCTGAGCGATGTCCCCAGCGGTGTGGCCCCAACGAAGATGTGCTTCAATAACGTTTAGAGGCAACATGTAAGATGGTCGCCTCCTCTGTTTCCGAGAGGATTTCAAGTTGGCGGGCAACCTCTTGAAGACTCTCAAACACAGCTGGGTTAACATCCACATCCATGTCGAGCTGAGCCAAGTCCTCTATACATCGTTCCACACGAAACTGGACATAGTCTTTTGGTTCTCTGTTCTCTAAATGGTCCGCTAATGATCGTAAATGATCTCCAATGGCTCTTAAACCAATATCCATAAATAAACCTTACAACTGTGGATAAACCATGGATGTATAAAGATAAGGGCTAAACAGTAAAGCTCCAGCATTCGAATCAGCGCGGTTAGCCAGGCGTTAGTAGTAGAGCCCTCTGCCAGAAATGATCACACACTCCTGTAACCAATCCTGCTTCAGACTGAGGTTAGGACTGCCCACCTCATTAGCATACGGACACATAAATACATAAATAAATAAATGTATGTCGCGTAAATGTAGAAATAAATGAAAGATATATAATAACGTGTGTTCTGTTTTATTTTCGACTTTTATTTATTTATTTATACATTGATGTATTTATTTCCATATTTATTTATTCTTTTATTTATTTATTTGTGTATTCATTTCAACATTTATTTATTTATGTATTTATTTCGTCATTTATTTATTCCTGTATTTATTTATTCCTGTATTTATTTATCTATTTACGTATTTATTTATTTATACTTAAGTCATGTTCCGTCCTCCATAAGGCAAGGCAAGTTTATTTATATAGCACCTTTCAACACAAGGCAATTCAAGGTGCTTTACAAAAATGAAAGACATTCAGACAAAGGCATTTAAAAACAGTAAAAGATAATAAAAGAAACATTAAAAGAAAAAACACATGAAGAAAAAGTACATGAAGAAAAAGTTACAGTGCAGTTTAAGATATGAATAGTTCACACAGAAGTTCTACTTTACTGATGAACACAACAGCTTAGTTTCAATTAAAAGCAGCGACAAAAAGATAAACTACACTAAGTCAATACCCTTATATGTTAGTATGTATACAGAACATGACTAAAAATTATTCTAAGATGTAACGTTAACCCTTCATACCTCAGTCTGCTTTTAAGACACTAAAATAACGTATTCCAATTTTTATTTTGTTTTCGCTGGTGGAATTATACCGGCTCTCGTTTCAGTACACATAACAACGGAACCATAGCAACGGAACTGACAGGCAACAGTCAGAAACGTGACTCTTACACTCTTTACGTCACAAACAAAGATGGTGGATGAGAATAGATCTATAAAACGATAAGCAATGCGCCAGAATCAAGGTGAGACTATCTGCATCCTTTAAAACTCTACGCACATTCGTTTCACTGAAATAAGTAAACGACTGTATTTGAGTGAGTTAAGGCATTAGTTTGCTTCATTAAAGGGTGTTAATGAATAAGTGTTCTCCAGTGCCTTTTATCCGCTTTAAAGGGGACCTATCATGCAAAATGCACTTTTGTACATCTTTTATACATGAATATGTGTCCCCGGTGTTCCAGGGAACTCACCAAGTGTCAGAAAACACAACCCTCTCTCTTTTCCTCCATACCCAAATCTCTAAAAACGGGGCTGCAACGGATCTGATACAGACTGATCCAGATTTGAATTATTTTCTACGTCACAGAAGTGGTGCTCCGCTTAGTGGTCAATTCTCCACCTATCAGGGGAATATGGGGTTGGGCCACGGCCGGCCATTGCCGCTCGAAAGCGCTGGAGACGCTGTAGTACATATGCCAGGCCTGTTAGTGGCGCTGTAGTCTGCCACAAAAGCAGCGAAGAAGACTTCCCACGCATGGTTGCCCTTCTGCTCTTTTTCTCCCTCCCCGAGGCAAGCGTTTTGCTCCCGCTGCTGTAATTCAATGCAATCCCTCCCTCGCTGTAATTCTCTCCGGTAGTCCACCAGCAGATGACAAACACCCACCTCTCCGCCTCTTCCAAGGAACGAGGGGACCGTGCGGCATAGTTTCAGTTAGATTTTTTTTCGCGCTCAACATGTCCGTTAAAGTTGAAATCTTCCGGACAAAATTAGAAAAGTGCCGGTCAAAGGTCTTCTTTGTTATTTATTGAGCTTTAAAACAAATGAATAATGACTCTATATAATCATATAAGAATAAAACACGGAGGACGGAGATCTCTTTTTCTCCCCCTCTTCTCCCCGCTGCAGCCCAGCAGCTGATCTCAAAGCACGCTCCCCTCTCCTGCAGGGGGGCGTGGTGCAGCTCACAGAATCAGCCCCCTGCAAAAACAGGGCTGGAAAGAGCAAATAGAGCGAAATGAGGCATGGCTAAAATGCAGGATCTGTTTGGTATTTTGAAAAAAATAACTATTTATATACTTTATATAGGTATGGCCTTACAATATATTGTTCAAATATAGCATGATATGTCCCCTTTAAGGTATTATTAAGGTAGGGTTAATGTTGCTCTCAAAGTGCACCAGATTGATGCTTTTAACTTCAATATTTAAAAAAAATCTTCGGACCCCCCTAGAGGAGGCGACAAACCCCCTAAAGGATGTTCGGTCCACCCCCCACTTGTAAAAAAATAGTACTTTACCCCCCCCCCCCCAACAACTCCTGGGCTAAGCCCCGGATCTCCTACAATCCTAAATCCGCCACTGGAGTGCATGTACGTAGACACGTTAGTTTAGCTGCTATAGGCTTGGACTGTCGGGGGGGGGGACCTTACTTCGTCTTTCTGTCTGTTTGTACCTGTGTACTCTGATGTTCCGATTAACCCAGCTTCCCCCAAATCTCTTTTTTGTGTCTACATATATGCCGGGATCCTGAGTCGAGGCTAATCCTGTTTCTGTGGTCGTGTGTCCTGGATCCTCTATCCTGAGTACTGGATCTGAGTCCTGGACTTCGAGTCGTGGCTGAACCAGTCTCTGCGGTCCTGCCTGACTCTCACCATACTACTTCCCTGATGGCTCCCACAGGATTGTTGACATCCTCGTGGATTCATCTTCTTATTATGCACATGCATTTCCAAACATTTGGTCTTTCCAAACATTTGGTCTACCTATAAAATGTATTAACTCTTCGATTTACACATGGCATCTATTGCACGTCTGTCCGTCCTGGGAGAGGGATCCCTCCTCTGTTGCTCTCCCTGAGTTTTCTCCCATTTTCCCCTTTAAACTGTGGGGTTTTTCTCTGGAAAAGGGTCTAAGAACAGAGGGTGTCGTATTGTCATA